CTGGGACAGGACTAATTGGAGGGGATAGGGCGAAAGAGGGGGGAACGGGCGAGTTGACGCCACCGGCAAAGTGGTTCACCCCCTCTAGTTTTGGTCCACGAACAGTACAACAACCTGCTACTGCTGCTGGTTAACGGTTAGCTCAAGCAGCCGAGACCGGTGAGGTGGGCCTGGGTGGCCAACCCTACTGCGAGCCCACAGAGGCCAGTGACGTTCCACAGGAAGGAGCCCACATCTGGGAGTTCTTCCCCCGTTAATTCCCTTGCCAAAAAACCTCGGCGACTGCCCAGAGAAAACTGGGTTAAAGAAACCTGAGCGTGGCAAAGCCCGACCCTCAGCCCCTGGAGAGGCCACAGGAAGGTTTTCCAAGTGTGAATTGTAGCGTTTCTTAACTTTTCAGTGCTTGACTTGAAACCCGAGTCACGTTCCTCAGCGCGGTTTGTATCTGTCGTATTTATACCCCCACCCCCGGCCCACGCGCCTCATTGCATCACCTGTAAAAACTCTCCGACCCCCGAGGTTGTTTTTCCAAGATCCGGCTATATTTGCCTCCCGGCACTGCGCTTGGTGCCGTGTGCGCTCTCCCCGCCGGCCAGTTGAAATGCCTCCAGGCCCAGATTAAAGTCCAAAGTATGAGCGTGGCCATGCAGCCCGGCCTGGGCCCAGAATAGAAGCTGGCTCCTCTCCCCTAGTGTTTGGAGAGGCGGAGGAGCCTGAAATAGCGCGAGGAATCCAATTTCAGTATTTGCCTCCCGGCACTGCGCTTGGTGCCGTGTGCGCTCTCCCCGCCGGCCAGTTGAAATGCCTCCAGGCCCAGATTAAAGTCCAAAGTATGAGCGTGGCCATGCAGCCCGGCCTGGGCCCAGAATAGAAGCTGGCTCCTCTCCCCTAGTGTTTGGAGAGGCGGAGGAGCCTGAAATAGCGCGAGGAATCCAATTTCAGCAGGGACGGGGGCCTCGCCCGGGTGTTTGCTCCCAGGTGTTTGTGTACAGTCGACAGCGGGCGGGCGCTGGGCGTGCTCTCAAACCCAGTGCCCCCGGGCTGCGTGCGGCAAGGACCCAGTGGGAGGCACGTAAGACCCCGGACCTGGGCTGGCTGCAGAGGGACTGTCCTGGGTGCCTCTTTTGTAGCAGGGCTGGGTCTCTCTGCCCCCTGAGGAACTGGACTGCCTAGGCCACGTGGGGCAAAGCCCCAGAGCGTTGGCATGTGGGAGATTCCAGCCTGTTCTGTCATGCCCTTGGCCAGCTCCTCCCATCAGCTGCTCAGGGAAGGGGGCCAGACACTGAGGGGCTGGGGCACATTGGTGAAAGCAGCCAGGGGGCTGGGGAAGGGGGCCAGGAGGCTGGGGAGTGTGGCCAGGTGCCCCGGTGAGGGGAGGGAAGGCATCTGGAGGGTGGGGCAAAGGTTTCGTATTTGCGCTGGGCAGCTCCCTGAGCTGCCTCCCATGCTCGGCTCCGCTTGGCCGGCCCGAGGCCGAGCTGTCGGGCGCATGCGATGGGGACGGTGACCGCGTTGCATGCGATCCCACGGGGCCGTCCATTGCTGGCTTTTCCAGGGCCCCTCCTGGGAGGGAGAGTGGGAGCCCAGCTGTGCCAGAGCCAGGAGTCCCCCTCCCGCATTCATGTAGCCTGCCCCGGGCAGCCGTGCGGCCGGCGCCGCCCACTCTGGGGCGCGGGGGGCCCTCGCCCTGACGGCGTGTCCTTCCCCTGCAGGTTCTGAACGATGGCCGTGTGGATCCAGGCCCAGCAGCTGCAGGGAGAGGCCCTGCGCCAGATGCAGGCGCTCTACGGCCAGCACTTCCCCATCGAGGTGCGGCATTACCTGTCCCAGTGGATCGAGAGCCAGGCATGGTAGGTGAGCCTGCCCCACAGGCCTGCCTGGGGTTCTAAATGGGGCCAGGGCGGGCAGCCTGGGGGCAAGGAAGCCCTAGGATCCCGGGCAGAGCTGGGAGGGGGCGGGCAGTGAAGGCGTCTCATGGCCCCCTGTGCTGTTGGGCGTCTGTGGATCTGACAACCTCACGGCTGAGCAGACCATGGCCTAGGCTAGAGCTGAGCCTGGGAACGTCTGGATCCGGCCTCTTCTCTGTCCTGTCCCCTCTTCTCTGGGGAGCTTTGGCCAGTCGCCGCTGCCCTTCGTGCCTCACTTTCCCCTTACCCTAGCTAAAGGCAGGTCCCCGCCTCCAGCCCAGGGGACACGGGCATGAGGAGGGTTTGGCTCTGTGCTGAGCAGACCATGGCCTAGGCTAGAGCTGAGCCTGGGAACGTCTGGATCCGGCCTCTTCTCTGTCCTGTCCCCTCTTCTCTGGGGAGCTTTGGCCAGTCGCCGCTGCCCTTCGTGCCTCACTTTCCCCTTACCCTAGCTAAAGGCAGGTCCCCGCCTCCAGCCCAGGGGACACGGGCATGAGGAGGGTTTGGCTCTGTGCGGGGGGCAGGCTCAGGCCAGGCACAAGCTTTGGGGGCAGGTGCAAGGTCCAGGGGGGCAGAACCAGGGGGCGGGGCTTTGCGCCCATTCGCTCGGGCTGGCTGCGGTTTGCTGAGGGACGGACGCATGGGGGGTCCCCCGGCAGCTGCGGTCCCGGGCCCCAGCTGAGCTCTCCCCCGTCTGTGTCTGTGCCAGGGACTCCATCGACCTCGATAGCCCCCAGGAGAACATGAAAGCCGCCCAGCTGCTGGAGGGGCTGATCCAGGAGCTGCAGAAGAAGGCAGATCACCAAGTGGGCGAGGACGGCTTCTTGCTGAAGATCAAGCTGGGACACTATGCCACACAGCTGCAGGTTGGTCCCCGGAGCCGCCCTGTCCCCCCGTGTCCTGCCAGGGCCGCCCACTCGCCTCCCCGCCGGGGCCTGGCACAGCA